AATATGCTGAATGATGACATCAAGTGATGCATACAGTACCCACAAGAAGATACCCAGTTTAAGTCCGCCACTTCTTCTAGAAGTACATGGAATATTTTCAATTGAAAACCATGGAACAAAAAAAATGCCTGATTTATTTTTCAATTCTAAAAGAATTGGAAATTCCAATTCCAAAAGAATTCTTTTGGAAGAACTCAGCACCAGTTTTCAACATATAGTTTTACATATAATAAAATAATAGCTTCATCATAACACTTTTTGATGAAGCTGTGTACTTTGGAGGTAATTTGATGGAAAAAGATTTCAATCGAGTAATTTAGATTTCTTATAGACTAATTTTTTTCTGTGACAGAAAGGATAAAATAGATTCCTTAAATTGGTACAACAGAGAATCTGAAGCACTTTTCAGTGAAATTACTTGAAATTAATGCTTACTGATTTTTCAGTATCTAGTAATAGTTTTAGCATTAGCCTTTTATCAGACTATCTTCTTTAAACTCACTTTTCTACTCAAAGTACTTTGTATTCTATTCAGTACCTCTTTCTTACTCCTTGTTCACCAAGACAAACCTCAGTGAAATAATGCTCATATTACCTTTTGAATTACAAATAAAATGCTGTTTATTATTATTATTATTAACTTCAATTTTTAAATTCTTCCTGGCACATAAGAGGAGGGAAAGCTCATTCCGAGTTACTTCTACTGCTCTGTGTGCTCCTGAGAGTTGCACTCTACACAGGGTAATATGCTATACCAAAATGGAAGAACCTTTAGTGGAAAAGCATGAAAGAAATGGTAACCTTTAAGTCTGACTTCTCCTATGGCAATTAAATTACTGTTAATACATCCTTGTTCACGATTTGTAAGGTCTTTCCTATGGCTTTGGAGAAATACAATCACTGCTGCAAACAAACTTTTACCATTTCAGCTCTGAATCCCAAGGATTGGCTAGTAGCCCATCGACTATCACAGACTACTAAATGTTACACGAACCTAAAGAAAAACTGGCCTATACAGTTTCATCACAACATTAATACAATTGGTACAAAACACTGCCTGTAAATGTTGACATTTTCTATTCCCTGCCTTCTTTCTGTTCATCTAAAATTACAGATATTATTTAATTTAAATGCTACAGGACTTGACAAGCTCAGATCAAATTCACACTTGTTTTATTACCAGTGTTTTGATTAATGCAAAAACTGCAAACAAAAGTATGATCTCTCCACTCCGTTCTTTTTTTTCCTAACAGGCTATTTTCTTCTTTAGCAAGCTCTGGAAACGGAAACACTCCTATGCCTGCAGCTGGCTGGTGCTGTGTCCCAGGTTACAATGACTTGCTGCTCTTTGCTGCTGCCTTCCTGCACGTGCATGCAAGAAAGGGGCAGAAATAGGTTTCCAGCTACACTCAAATACAATCAAATAAAATACACTCAAATGAAAACCCTAATACTTTTCTGCTAACTCTTACAGCAAGCAGAGTGCATTATCGAAGATATTATTAACACAGCTACTGCTGGAGAGAGATTTAAATACAAAACAATAGAAGGAAAAGCAAAAGAAACAAATAGATGTTGTCCTACCAAATTGTTCCTTTTTCTTGTACTAGGTTAGTGATCACAGTTTACACGGCCACTGATACTGCAACTCTACTGCAGCAACCACTCAAAAACGCCTTTGCCTTCAGCCAAATAATTTTCATTGGCTTAGCAGATACCAATAAATTAACTATGCAACACTTTTAAGTAAAGGTACTATGGAGAAAGAAGGCGATGGCTTAACTATTATCAACTCCTACAGACTCTTTGTGAGCACCTATATAGAAATACTTCATGGACTATGGGAAGAAGGAAATGAGTGTTTCACACTCATTTCAGTGTGTATGCATGTGTGTTTCACACACATTTCAGTGTGTGTTTTAACATACCTGTCTTTATGAAAACACTAATTATTCTTCGCTAAACCAAAAACTGATACTGATTGCATGTAAGAACCAAGTACATAGCCAAGTACGTAGAGACTGGGAAATTTCAGCAGACATCTTTAAAACAGTTCACTAAGCCTAATTGTTCTATTTTTGGACTGGAAGGATTTCAATCTCCAGTGTGGTCAGCCTGGTACATTTCACAGAACTAATTGTTACTTAAAAAGAGAAAAATATAATGTAGAAAAATGGAATAGATTTTCTTCATTGAGATTAATTGGCACCAGCAGTGAAGAGTCAGCACTTACCCTGTAATGGCCAATTCAACAAACATATGTCTAAGTGCCAAACCACATGCCATTACAATTCTATAAACTCAGTTAATTGCTTCTTTTCAGGTTGAGGTCAGGCTTATTTTTATGACTGAGCTAAGCTTCACATTAAAAATAACTTAGATAATTTCCATTCCTTAAAATTTTACAGATAATTTTTAGGCTGAAACACAAACATTTTTTTAAAGTACATACTGAAAAGTAAACAATATAATAGCAACTGTACACTGCACACAGCTATTCTGGGCACAAGCTCTGTTCTACTCCACTGAAATAACTTCAAATCTGGTATAATTTAGCAGAATCCACCCATCATCCTTAGTTTATTTTCTTGATAGAGATTTAGTGTAGCAAGCCAAAATCTTACAAATCTTCAACACACTGTTTTTCAACTATGGAAAAATGTGCTTTTTTGTTTTGGTAGGTTTTTGTTTGTTTGTTTGTTTTGTTTTGCTTTTGTTTTGTTTTGTTTTTACTGGCAATTTACACTTGTAACATTTTTTTGGGTTGAAATTACTGTTTCCAGATACTAGCTTTACATTGGATATCACAGTGAAAGGAAATGTTGCTAGATCTCCTCCTCTCTTTTGTTCTCCCAGTTTCCAAAAAGCAGATTTCTTCCCATTTAATGTTACAGTATTCACATGCTCTGTGCAAAACAAAGAAAAAGGCACTATTTCTAATTAGTTCTTTGATTTACTAAGAAGAATCTGCCTATGTGTTTGAGAATTTGCATGCCTTGCTCATGTGAGTAGTTCATACTGACATGGAGCGATTATAAGTAGTTGTTAATTTTTTCCAGAGATTACAGAATATACTCTTAAAGTATGTGAACCAGGGTCTACATTATATTGCTGATATGAGAATTAGTTGGAGAGTATAACTTTCAGTGCAAACACAAGGCTTATTTATTTCTGCATCAGAAAACAGCTTGGTAACATGACTTTAAGGAGTAATTTTAAAAGAGAGCCATAGTAAAACCCTGGCATATTGGTGAAAAGTAGACAGAAGATAATGGAAATCCAAATTATGCTGACAACAGCCCTCAGAAAGTTAGGGCTTTTGCACAGGAAATCCTGGACAGTTTTGTCTAGAACTGGAACAAAAAGTCAAAAATCTTCGAAGATTTTACAAACCAGAATTTTATGAGAAGCTTTGCCCTGTGGACAGCTCTTGCTTGCTATCTGTGAGGTTCACTGTTATCTGCAATTCTGAGTGCCATCACAAGGCAACATTTGTGGTGGCTGGCCTTCCAAAGACTTGCAGCCAGACAGCTCCAGAATGCTGTATTTTGGCTGTCCAGTCCCTGGACTAGAACCAACACGAATAAGACATTTTTGTTATTGTGGACAGTGTTTCCACTCATGCAATCCAAGGGGACATAATACAGCTCAGATAAAATTACATTAAAATGGTTATATATGCAAGTCGCACGTGTGTTTGTTTAATTTTAATTGGGTATTAACACAGGAAACCGTGTTTCCCATTGAGTTTAAGGTTTCTTCTATTGTAAAGTTTCACAACAACCAGATAATCTGAATGACAGCTATCATAGGACTTCAGTTCTGGTTTGACAAATAAAGGTTGAGCTTCTGTATCAATTGTGATTTTTCAAACTGATGAGAATAGAGAGATACCTGTTTTTTAGTTAACAGCTGAAAAACACAATATCACAGCTGTGTATGTAATGACCTCCACATTGTCTTCAGGAAGAAAATATATAACACTCCGTAGGAAGTAATACTAATCTGGCAGCAATTAGCAATCTCCTTGATGTAATAATTTAGATAATTTGTGAATTGCATGTTTGGAGATATTGAATTATGCATCTACAGTTTAAACCTACAGTTTATGCACCTACAATTTATAATTTTAAACACAGTGATTTTACTCTTTCCTTGAATTCCACAACGATTAAACTTCATTTCTAATATGTCAGATAACGTGTTTAAAATTAAAAAACAAATACAGATAGAAATTACACTCCCAAAAGTCTGAAAAAGGAACAGGAAAAATTGGAATTTTTTTGATTATGCTCTAAAGATAGAAGATTATCTTTCCCCTGAAGAAAATATAACAGGAGTTCCATAGAATTTTATTTCAGATATTCAACATTTTCTACTAGAAAACATTCATTTCTGGAAATAAATATCAGACATGCACAAAGACTGAGCCAGAACTTGGCCATATAAGAAAAGTGTGGCACACTTGGAGCCAAAGCTTTACTTCCACATTCCAAGACAGTTCATTGAGCACTGATATACTATTTGCAGTTCACTCTCAGTTTAAGATACTATAAAAGCATCTAAATTTAAAAATGCAAACGTAGTTCTTCCTAGCAACACTAGAGCATATTTTATTAATTTTATTTATCCATTGATCTATTCAAAATTCTGTTAAGAAAACATCATGTGCTTATGAAACTATTCAGTACAACTATGAGTCAATTCCTAACAGAGTAGAATGAAAATTAATTTTCTACTAATTAAAGCACTCATTTTCTTGGACATCCTCTTGCTTCCCAGTATGTGCTCCAGCAAAATGCATAGCCAAAATCATCAGATTCTTAGCAAAATTTTCAGAAGCTTGATGATGGTTTTTTTTTCTGCAGAAATTACACTGATGAAACACAGTCTCCACGTTGCAACAGAAGACAAACAGAATGCAATCCTTTAAAAAGGTAATCTAGAATTTTCTAATATATATAAAATATATATTCTAATATTAAAAAAAAATTAATTACCTGGATCTTCTATAGATAAGTTCTTTGTCAACCACTGAACAATGTCTGAACCTAGGAACAAAGAAATAGATATTTTTAGATTAATAAGTTTTCTCTTCCTATTCTTCTATTCCCTAGATCTATTAGTTTTATTCTACGTGTAAAAGAAATATCTATCTTTTGCACTCAGACAACTATATTACTTTTTTCTTTTCTTTTCTTTTTAGTTTCTCCACAGCTTTGGCCTAAGAAACATACTGCTCCCTCCTTTCCTTAGGTCAAAACTCATAAAACACAGAAATGTCAGAAGATAGCCTACAGTTTAAATAGATATTATTGAAAAATTTGCATTAAAACCACTCTTTTAGAAGTCAGAATGATAGTTTCCCTACTTTCCTAATTCCAAATTAGGTTGCAAATGAAGCCTAGGAAAAATAAATACAGATACAGATGATTTTGGAATAATGATTTTTTACAGGTGCAATACAGATGATTTTGGAATATATGACACTGTATGCTGCAGGCCATCTCTGATAAAAGGCCTCCTTGGTACTAATACGTACCATTATGAGCTCACTTAAGGACCTCTATTGTGTTCAGCTTAGCCTTCTGACTTTTTATCTCTAGCTCTTGATAGAAGTTATTCTTCTGCAGTGTTGAAGTCCTTTCCTTACAAGTCCAGACTCCGTACTTCTTTATCCCTGCATTTACTGCCCATCCATTTCTTTGTACTGTGTTTCTTTCACTTTCTTAAGGCCATACGTTATTGCTGTCCTCTTAACAATTCTGACACCAGACTCCTTGTTGTGTTTTACGAGTATTCTTCCAACTCTGCCTCCTGCTTTCTAACTCTCTCTTGGATGTGCACTTCCTATCACACTTCACACTTTTCGTACCAAGCCACGCTGAAGGATCTCTCATTTTTCAGACTGCAAGCTGCAGTTGGACTTCACCACTCTGAACATACTAAATTCCAAAATAGATTATGAAGCAGTTTGGCAGACAAAAAAAGACATTCATGATTTAAGCAACTTTAAAAACGAAAACTGGCCTAAGGGGAAAATATAGTCTAGACAGTTGGGGGTGATGTGCATGTTCTCTGCATTGCAGCATGTCTCCATTTCAGATAAGCAATCTAAAGGAGAGATATGTCAAATTTTTAAGTTTCCTTATCCATTTCTAAGAGAACATAATAACTTCATTAAAAAAAAGAAAAACAAAAACAAAACTCTGAAAAGTGAAAAGATAATCAAAATCAACATATGTCAATGTGAAAAAGTCAAAATAATAAAATCTCACATATAGGCAATAATATAAAATATTACAATCTGCAGATTTCCCCATCACTCTCAAGACTCAGATTTCTTCCTGCACTTCTGAGAGTGCATAATTTTCTTTTATCTTTGTAAGACAAGGCATACAAGGAACTAATAAACCAATTCAGAGAAGAAAGAAAATCTATTTTTACTCTCTTAATTGCAGAAAATAAAATTTCATTGCTTCTATTTTATTATATTTAATGAACAGATTTATCATGTATTTTAGAAAGCCTAGCTGATTTTAATATAAGTTTTCGTGTGTGTACACATTACTAAATTGATTATACAGCAGTGAAAATTGTGGGGATTTTACAACTGTCTCCAGAGAAATATTTTCATTACTTTATTACATCTAAATTTGGATAGATTAAACTTCAGTGGCAAAATTTCTCATAGTATTTACACTTAATTAAAAAATTACACATTTACACATTTACATTAAGTGAAGCAGTCTACCTTTACATGCTCTTAGTGTTGGACATAAACAAAATGTTTCAGATGGTTATTCCTACCTCAAAATATTATATTTTTGTGTATGTTTATAAATATCATTCCTATCTTTATTCATATGAAGTTTATGAGGCTGATGTTGGAGGATGTATTTTAGCTCCGTGTAAGAGGAAACTTCATAGATTTCAGTGACACAGTCCCAAGCCTAAGCATATATTTCCATCAGCTAAACAGAAATAATCAGCCCTACATATTTCCCTAAACCCTCAAAGGTCAGAGGAAAAAGTCATTAAAAAAAAAAACATAGAATTTTTTTTAACTTTTGTTTCCTTCAAATTCTTCAGGTACCCTATGGGAAGACATTTTCCAATTTTGATCTCAACTTAAAATGCTTCATTTCTCTTTACCTCTTCCGAACACTTTCCTACAGTGACATATTGCAAATCTTAGTCCTCAGCTCCTGTCATTGTATTTGTGCATGTGATCTACACATCAGAAATTTCACCTCCATATGTTACAGTGTCTTCTAAATAACAGTGGGAAATAGGATTGACAATTATAATATCTGTTTCTGAAAGATCACTACCACTATATATTATTTTGTAATGAAGCCATTTCCCAAGTACCAAAAGCCAGAACAGCAGTTTAAGTCAGCTATCACATTTGAACACTGATGATTTGAACTGCATGATTTTGATGACAAAAGCTCAAGCCAGTAAATATTTACATTTATATTCTCTCTATTGTGCAGGGCATTCAAGTGAAGCAAAGTTGCAAGTAGTTTATCACACCATAAGTGAGAAATTTATCAGTCCATATTCCTTTGGGAGATCTTGTGGGCAACTCTACTTCTAAAAAGAATAATAAAAGTGCCACCTTTAATAGCTAAGTGTTTTTAGCTGTTATTTTAAGTGTCTAATCAATAATGTGATTTCATTCACTCACATCTGCCCCCTTTTCTAGTGTTTACTAATCATGCAAATTTGTTTCTGAAAGTGAGGGCGGTACTGTAATTTCTTATCTCAAGAAAAGGACAAAGCAGCAAAACAGGTAAATGTTTTGAGCAAAAATGGTATTTCACTAGAGTCCCAGATTTGAAAATCGGGTGACCAGTAAATTCATGTCAATTTTCATACACTGTACTTCGTACCTAAAGAAAACACCCAAGAATTAGGATGAAAAAGGTTACAGACTTCGTAAATTCTAAGCAAGAGCTAATTCTTACATGATAACACATCTTCAACTTTAAATCCTGAGTCGTTCTCATCACCAAGGATCTATCAAAGTGATGAGGACAGAAATTGCAAAGAAGCATTATCTTGGTAAATGAGCCTCCCAAGAAGGAAATAAAACAGGACTTTTGCTTTCCTAAGTTGAAAGAGAGTACTTGGAATGCCTGATGATGTTGTCCGATGATAAAACGTCTAAAAAATTTGAGCTTTTTAAGATATTTCCTTTTTATAATTTGGCATTACCTGAAACAAATCTTTTTAACTAGAAGGAAAAGCAGCTCAGTAGGAGGAATTACAATTCTCTACTTAGAAGAGAAAGTAAAGTAGTTTGAAATTCAGACTGTAAATGCTACATTTGATTTAAATCCAAACGATGAAAAAAAAAAAAAAAGTTACATCACAAAGATATTCAGTTTTTGTCCGTTGATTAAGGTGGCAGTCACTGGTAACGTACAATAACAAATACTCTGTAATAACATTTTCTAAGGAGATTCCCAACTGAAATTCCCCAGCTCTCCATGTCTCACTTCTGGGAGGCAGCTAAAGGGGAAGCTTGCTTTTAGATTTCTAATGTATAAGAGACCTTACAGACCAATCACCATTTCAATTTTGAAATCCAACAACCCTCATTTCTCGTGCAAATTCCTGCATCAAATACAACTGAACATTATCAGGGGAAAAGCCTCAGAAAACATTAGAAAATGTTTGCAGCTCATCAGATCAAGGAAATAAAATTCACAAGATCTTATCCAAGTCAACAAATATGAAAGACTTTCCACCTTTTAAAAGAAAGCAGCAAAAATACATAAAATATCTGCTGATATGCCAACTGGTGATTATTTTTAAATGAAGCAGTCTGAAAATAGCAGTTACTGAAGCTGTCACGACATCTTAAGGATTCGCCAGGGCAATGCTTAAGTTATCTTTCAAGAACAGAACCTTTAATTTAAACAAGCCTCTACAGAATACATTTAAAAAAAGGTGTTGATTCTAAACTCCAACAAAATTAACGGGAATTATAGATTTGTTTTTTGCAATGCAGGGATGCAATGAGCCATATAACCCCTGATCTGACAAGAAAAAGGTGTAACTAGATCTGCAAAATCAAATTAATATTAAAAAGTTCTATTATTTCAAAGATTCAAAATGCATTTATGTGAGGAACATTGAAATTCTAATAAAGTGCACCAGAATCACAAGCCATGAGGTCACTGAAGAGCTTAACTGAGCTACAGTGATCTATCGTTTCACAAGAAGAGAGGTTTGATAATGCAAAAATATATATTACTGCTAACATCCAGGTATTGTGACTAAATTCTATTCATTTTTTTCACTTATAGTCTTCAGAGTATTTACATATAATGAAGTATATGGGAAGTTTGGGAAGTTTTCTGCATTCCTGATACCAAAAGAAAGGATTTTGCTGCTGACAACCCAGCAAATACTGTATCTTCATGAACGCTTTTGTCATCTGAACTCTCAAGGGTAAGCTAATCATTGCAGAGATTCGTCTGTACTGTAAGAGCCAGGAGGCTGGGCTTGTCCAGCAGCTGCGTTTGCTGAAGGGCTTCACACCAACTTGCATGAACCTGGAGACCAACTTACTGTAGGGAAAGTTTAATAAACATTACACACAAAGCATCAGTTTCTAAATTTATGACAATGTGATTGTTACTAATTAATAAGGTAAGATCACTGCCTTTCTATTGGCTTACTGTTTTTGTCAAAAGACCAGGGTCGTGCAATTTTGGTTTCTTTCTTCAACATTGTTGCTTTGTCACAGTGGGAGAAATACTTCACGAAAATAAATTTAGTTGTTGGCACACACTTCAAAATCCTTGATCATGACTGAAAAAAAATCATGTGCAAATGTAGTCCTCACTATTTATTCAGAAACTGGAAACAGAAACTGGATGTAGATCAGTTTCTCAGCACTTGCACTTCTTTGCTCTTTACCCACTCACATAAATTGCTCTTTGATGGAGTTGGACTCTGTGAGAAAGTGTCTGATGAATGGGAGATGATCTAAATTCTACAAGTTTTCATGGTCACAAACCAAAGCACAGGTTAC